AGGGGAAAACAAAATATTAAAAAATAAATGCTTGCTGACTTAACTTGATATGACTGGCATGAGACAGTCTACAGAATAAATATAAATAATAAATATTCATTTTTGCTATTTTAGCAGGAAATTATTTTTAAAAAATTTTTCAGGAAGTAACTATTGTCCTTGTAAGGAAAGTCCTTTCTTTGAAAGGATTATTATAAGTATTGCTTTTATTGTTTTTCTTTTCTTAGAGCCAGTTGTTAACTTCACATCTGTGTGTAGATTTTGCTTATGTTACCCACTTATTTATTTGGAAGGAAAATTCTGAAAGAAATCGTGGTGATGTGGCAGCAGTGTATCTGTTTCTCAAAGATTAATTGAATAGAATAAAAATGTCTTACCTACATCTACCATGACCACAAGGAGAGCATGGAAGGCCGTTGGATGCTTAGCGTATTTCTAGAAAGGCTGTCCTGCTGTGGACGGTTGAGGGCCACGCTGAGATCCTGAAGGGTCATGCACAAGCTGTAGCTGAAATCTTAGATCTAATCACCTGCCTTCCAACCTCCTGCCTGTCCACTCCAATGACCAGCAACCTCTCACGCCCTCAGTCTCTACCCCGGGGAGAGTAAGTCCCCAGCTGCCGAAGAATAGCCCGCCTCCTCCAAGCTCAGGACTCTTCTCTATCCCCATCTGCCTCAGGCTGGCCAGGCAAAGTCCAACTCGGATCTCACTCGCTCTCCTCCTCTTCTGTTCTTCTGGAAAGCCTTTCTGTGCTTCTAGTGCTTAGCACAGCTCTTGGAGCCCGGGAAGCGCTTAATAAACATCTGTCACCTATCAGTCGCTCTTCCACTGCGCCTGGCTGCTCCTTTATCCTCATCGTGGCCTTCAATCCTCCACCACTCAGTACTTCCGGCCGCCTTTGCTTTCCCATTCTCTGGCTCGACACTGTTCGCTGCTCTTAATTTGCTCACTCGTCCTATAATATCTGTTCATTAATTGATTAATCAACACGCATTTCTTCTGGGCTCTTGTAACTCCTTTGAGCACTTTGCTTTCACACCTGCTTAATGGGCAGATTCCACTGTATGTTCTGTGCAGTGCACCGCCCGCTGTCCACATACGTTTTTACCTCTGAGCATGGGTAAGAGAGCTGAGAACCCATATCTACGGAAACTCGGATAGGAGCAGAACAGACTGGGCAGAGCAAACAAGGGAAAAGAGGGAAATACGACACTCTGGGATCAGTTCCAAAGATCAAACGTAATCTTTGGGGCCCAAGTCTTGACTGTAAGAACAACCCTGAGACATAGGTTACATCAGTTTTTTACACAGTTGACACTTATCCGCAGTGTTCATCCCCCACCCCACCCCCATTCAAGTCTTTATCATGCTGTCTATATACGCCTTTCTTTGTCTGATACCATTGTCTTTTGTGGAATCTGCCAGCAACCTTCTTAAGGAAAAAAGAATTTAGGGTAAATCAAGGCAGACTCACCATTCTTGAAGAGACTTATCTCAGGCTCAGAGAATGTGGGTGAAGACAGCCAGGGGAGGCCAACGCCCAGGGCTGGTGTCCACGGGGGAGCCATTGGCAAATGTTTGACTAGGTGGCGCTTCCTTTCTGGGACCCTCACAGGGGCCAGTCAAAACAGGTTGAGTCCATGCTTTGCTGCCCTATCTCGGGGTGCCAATAGTGTGGGGATTATAATTGTCCAGTCTGAGCCAGGGCTCTGAGCCAACAGCACTTTATTAAAGGCACCATGGTCCCCTCTAACGAGGGGACCCCTTCTTCCAGGACGTTTTTTATAGGGTTTGATACACAAATATGCAAAAGAGGCATGACAAAATATGGAATCTCACTGGTTGACAGACCTTTCATATGGGCGGGGTCACAGGTTGGGCAAAGCATGAGGCATCTTCACTGACTGAGTGGTCACAAGACAGTCACCTGCATGTGTTGGATGAGACAACACGGTCCAAGGTACGAGAATAAGTTGGGGGACTTTCCAAAGCCCGAAGGCGCCCCACCCATGCTGGGTTTGGACATGGAATCTGAGTAAAACAGGACAGAGAGATCTTAGTCAGCATGCTTGCAGCTGCACAAGTGAGCTTCACCACTGATAAACAAGTAGTGAACACGACATTAAAGTCTGAGACCCAATCATAAAGGCCTACCATGAGAACCCGCATCATCTAATTATCCACCTCTAACCACTTACTCTCCCAGTCTTTTGAAGCTGATTAAATTTTGGGCAAAACCTGACAGGCAGGGGAGGGGCAGGTAGGTGGCATGGTGGGTAGAGTGTCAGACCTGAAGTCAGAAAGATCTGAGTGCCAATCCAACCTCAGAGCATGGGCAAGGGCAGCTGAGTGGCCCAATGGAAAGAGTGCAGGGCCTGGAGTCAGAAAGACCTGGGTTCAAATCCAGCATCACACACTCACTAGCTGTGTGACCCTGGGCAAGTCACTCAGTGACCAGTCCCTTGGCCTCAGTTTCCTCACCCATAAAATGACCTGGAGAAGGAAATGGCAAAGTGCTCCAGTATCTCTGCCAAGAAAACCCCAATGGGGTCATGAAGGGTCAGACACGACTAAAATGACTGAACAACGACCATGGACAAGTCATTTAAACTCTCGATGCCTCATCTTCCTCATCCGTAAAATGGGGATAATAACAGCACTCACCTCACCATGCCGTTCTGAGGGTCAGATGAAATGATATTTGTAGTATTTTACAAACGTTAAGGCACGACTTCAGTGCTGGCTATCAGTAGTAGTGTGTGTGTGTGTGTGTGTGTGTGTGTGTGTGTGTGTGTGTGTGTGCGCGTGTTTTTTCCTTTGGAAGGAAGAGACGCTCCAGACCTGTGATTTCATCAGAACAGAGATCGTGGGGTGGAACCTCCCTTCGCTGTGGAGACTGGCAACTCCACAGTTTGTAGCCTTTGGATGGTCCTAGAACTTCTTCTGGGGACAAAGGAAAGACCCACGCTGAATGCAGTCCGATGCCCACAATAACACAGCCAAGCTCGACCCCAGGAAAAGCGACTAGTGCATACCTCCTGGTCCTTTACTGCGGAGTGGGCCCAGGGACGCTGAGCCCAGTTCTGAGCGTCAGGCTGACCAGATGCATCCATTGGTTTGATAAACTTTCCCCTCTGTTTTACTCTTTGTTATGAGGGATGGTTCTCTGTGAGAGATGATTAGGACAGAAAGATATGGAAAGACATAAGCCACAGGTAATTTTGTTTAGAGTTGCTGAAGGTACTAAGGGGTTAAGCTATTTGCTCAGCGTCACACAGCGACAGGAGTCAGAAGTAGGACTTCAAGTCAGGTCTTCCAGACTCCAAGCACAGGCCTATACCTGGGTACCTCTCTGATGTAAGTATGTGTGTACCTATGCTCCATCTTCTACCTAACAGAAATGGCCAAGCTCTGCTGTTCCTATTTTTTTTTTTTACGTAAGAAACAGTTTTAGATAAACCCTGGTTTGGGGCTGGGGAGCAGAGTGAGTGTGTATATGTGTTTGTGTGCGTGTGCGTGTGTGTGTGAGTGTGTGCACGTTTGCTGGGGCTGTCTGAAGAAGGTCTCTTGCACTGCAGCGGTTTCTGGCTGGGCAGTAAGAGCAGGCAGGAGCCTGGAGCTGCCCCAGACCAAGAGAGGCCCCTGACCATGTGTCACACTGCTATTTTCAGTCAGAGGACTTTCTCCTCTCTGTACAAGGGCACAGCTGTGGAAATACAGGCTCCTTCAGAACCTGGCAGGGCCTGGGAAGCCAGGAAGCACAGGGCTCCCAGCCCAGACAAGTCACACAGGTAGTAAGTGGCAGGGCTGAATCTGAACCCAGATCCTGACTCCAAAGCCAGCACTCATTGCACTGCTCTAACCTCATCCAGGAAAACAGTGGTTCACTGCCAGGAGTCTGGGCTCTCATTTCTTAGCCCAAACCACTCCCCAGGGTCAAAAGCTCTGCTGCTGAGAAGACATGTGAGGCTGGGTGTCCTCTCAGAGGGCCCCTGACTCCCAGCCCCTCTCACCCTCTCTTCACAGTCTCCCAATCTTTCTGCCCCCTCTGAGAATCACCCCCAAGCTAGCCGTATCCATGGGAGACCACAAGGGCATGGCCTACATTTCTAGATCACAGCAGTAGAACCTGCAGGAGGAGGAGGAAGGCTGGACCAAGGCTCAGGAGAGTCTAGGCTCTGCCACTCAGTGGCCAAGTCCCTTGCCTCAGTTTCTTCCACCTGCTCCCCCTGTACAATGAGAAATTGAACCAAACAACTTTCAAGACGCTCCCCAACTTGACCACTCTGTGAATCTTAAGAAATTCATTAGTTGGACCTGATCAAGGCCATTCCTCAAAGGCACACAATGGTAACCCCACAGCTGAGTCACAGGCTCTGGGGTTGAGCCACTGCTCCAATACTTACTGGTTGTATGACCTTGGGCAAGTCACTTAACCTTCATGCCTTAGTGTCTTCAACTGAAAAAATGGAAGCAATAATGCTCCCACTCTCTACCTCAGAAAGGTGTTGTGGAAAGATAATTTGGTAAGCCTTAAGGAATCAGAAAAATGGGTATGATTATGGTTGAGGACACCTCCCATCAGAAAATCCTTCTAAGCTTTCCCTCCAATGTCTGATGCTTTGATAGAAGGGAGACAGAGCTCTCCTTACAGGGAAATTTTTGCAAACTCATCAGACTTATTTTTAATTTAAAAACACATATTACCCATCACAGACTAGGGGTCATACAAGGAAGATACAGACAATCTGATCCCCAGAAACTTGAGCTATTTTAATTGAGTCCCTCACACTCCACTGTGTCTCCTAAGGACTGAAAAAAAAATGATGAGTCTCCCCTTAATGACATTTCTAGGAATCTCTCTCTGGTGTAAAGCCTCTCCCTGAAACACCCAAGAAGGCTTTCCCGCATTCTATCGGTCGGCAGGTATTGGCTTCTTCTCTCCATTGCGGTGGTTCTAATGCCACACGAGGTGTGCTTCCCTTCATTCAGGACGTTCATCACTGATGAGTTCTCTGGTGCTGAGTGAGAGCTGAGCGGTCACCAAAGGCCTTCCCACTCTCACTGCCCTCATGGGGCCTCTTTCCAAAGTGACTTCTCTGGTGTCCAATACGAGCTGAGCTGTGAGTAAAACACTTCCTGCATTTAGTGCAGCCATAGGGTCTCTCTCCAGTGTGGATCCCCTGGTGCTGAGGGAGAGTGGAGCGGTCACCAAAAGCCTTCCCACACTTGCTGCACTCATAGGGCCTCCATCCAGCGTGGCTCTTCTGATGGTCAGTGAGAACACCCCTTTGACTGGATGTTTTTCTGCAGTGTTTGCATTCGTAGGGTCTCTCTCCAGTGTGACTCCTCTGATGCCGAACGAGGACTGAGCTGTGGATGAAGGCTTTTCCACACTCACCACATTCAAATGGCTTTTCTCCTGTGTGGATTCTCAGGTGCTTTCTTTTTTTCCCTTTTTTTTAAATTTTAATTTTTAAAATTTTATTTTATTTATTTTTTTCCCTCAGGTGCTTTCTAAGAGTTGAGCTGTGAGTGAAAGCTTTCCCACACTCATGACATTCATACAGTTTCACTCCAGTATGAATTCTCTGTTGCTAAGTTAGATGGAAGTGCCGACTGAAGGCTTTCCTACATTCACTGCATTCATAGTGTCTCTCTCCAGTATGAATTATCTGATGTTTAATCAGGTCCGCATTACCTTTGAAGGTTCTTTCACATTCATGACAATCATATGGTCTCTCTCCAGTGTGAATTCTCTGGCGGCGAATCACACTGGAGCTCCAGCTAAAAGCTTTCCCACCTCATGACATTCATAACCTTTTCCTCGGGTGTGAATTTTCTGATGAGCCATAAGAGCTGAGGAACAGCTAAAGACTTTCCCACAGTTACCACACTTACAGGGCACCTCCCTGTCATGGATTCTCTGATGAGCCATTAAGTCTGAATTCTGTTGGAAGCCCTTTCTACAAGTGCCACATTTATACGGCATCTCCATAATAGGAACACACTGATAGGAACCGTGGTGAGGGCTCAGAGTGAACTTTCTTTCCAATTCCTTACATTCTTGGCCCCTCTCTCCTAGAAGGATTTTCCTGTGAGGGACATCACTCTCCCAAAAACCCCCCTTCCATCTCACCACTGTGAGAATTCCTGCTGCCTCTCCAAATCTGGGACCCTGGGGATCAGCACTTGGGAATCTTCCCATTATCAATCCTTGCAAACTCTACATCATCAGCAACATTTTGCTTTGGCATCAGTGTCTCCATCGCAGCTTTAGACACGGGACCTGAAATATTCAATAGAAAAGGAAATGTGACTTTTTCCCTGGATGGGAGAATTCCCAAGAGGCAGCTGACCTGAGAGCCAAGAGACGCCGGACCGACTCTGAGCAGCTTCCAGGAGACCATGGCCAAGTCATTTGTCTCCCTTTGGACCTCAATGTCCTCCTTTGTAAACAGAAGTCTAGGGCAGGGTGGCATGGACCCCATTGTTAGTCTGGTGAAACCATGCACTCCTCACAATCATGTTTTGTTTTATTTTTTAAATCCATAATGGAAGGCAATGCTAAATTTAGTAAAATGAAGATGTGCTCTTTCTCCCATCCACAAGTGGGGGTCTGCGGACCTCAGGTGAAGAACCCATGGTCTGGGGGATCTCCAAGGCCCCTTCCAGAATCCTCAAGTATGGTGAGAACTGATGGGCCATGGCCTAAGTCTGTGCCCATGAACCCAAAGAGTGCCATTGTTCAGTACTGGGGAGGAAGGGCAGCAGAGACCCTATCTATATGCCTAGTTTGGAGCCCCCAGGATTGTGTGCCCTGGGGGCAAGAGGGCTGAGCTTAGAGAGGGTTTGTCATCATGGGGATATGACGGGCCATGATGGTCAAGCGTTGCTTCTTAGCACAGGCCAGACTAGCACTCAGGAGCCTAGAACAAGATTGGAGCAGGAGGGCTCACATGCCGCCAGGGCCTTTGGTCTCACGACAGCCCCCCGACTCCACAAAGCTCCTTCCTCACACAGTCCCACCACGGCAGTGGATGTCATCCCCATTTCACAGAGGAGGCTACCAAGGCCCAGAGAGGGTGTATCACCAACAGCACGTAAGCGTCCGGGGCGGGGCCAGCGCCTGTTTCTTTTGGTCTTGGCATCACCCCACCCTTGCACTATGCCGGTCACAGACATCCCCCCCCCCCGCGCCAACGCTGGTTCCCTTGAGCTGAACTGTCCATGGTTCCAAAGGAAGCAGCCACCCCAGGGCTTCCCTGAAAGCCCCAGGTCTGATGCTCTCCCCACTGCCCTTTGGGAGGAGGCACAACAGTTCAACACAGCACACATTAAGCACCTAGTGCATGCAGGTCCTGCACTCAGCCCAGACAGCAAGTTGGAGAGGGAGTATCTGAACCTGGATCTACTGTCAGGACCTCTTTGGCCTGGGGACTCCTCAAAATCCAGTTTGGACACCTACATTCCTAGCGGAAAGGAGCCTAAATTTCCACTGGAGTTTAATAACAATGTCATTTTTCCCCATCCAAGGTCATAGACCCCCTTGAACTCAATCCATGGACTCTGACCTAGATGATCCCAAGGAGTCCTCTCTGCTCGGATCTCAGAGCAGGAAGGGGCCAGCAGCCCTCTAGGCCACCCTATGCCTGAAAAAGAATCCCCCTGCTCCCACCCAGCCTCTGCTGAAAGAGCCCTGTGCTGGGACGCACTGCCCACAAGTCAGCCGGCCCCTTCCACCTTTCCTCTTCCATAAAACAAGGGGTTGGCCCAGCTGGCTTTTCTAGGGTGGCTGCTGGCTCTAAACCTATGCTCCTTCCTTGGGTGAGCCTGGTGAAGGGAAGCTGTCTTGAGGCATTTCCAAGGCTGCCCATGGATTAGGCAGGGTTTGCTTGGAGCCCAGGGGCAGAATCAGGGGTAGGGGTGGAGGTCCCAGAGAGGCAGAGTTAGGCTTGAAGAGTTCTGAGGAGGAGGGCTGTTCCAAGGGTGTGCCCACACCGAGCTGTTCCTGAATCATCTGAAGCCACACTCTTCTTCAGTTGTTGTGTGTTCCTCCATTTTTGGTCACGATGACTGTTCAATGAGAAATAAAGGTCACTTGAGTCAGTTGTGAGGTTAGGAGACCCTGCCGGCTAGCACACGCCAAGCTTTAGCCAGACACAGAGGCTGACCCTCCCCCACATCTCCCTGCTCTTTGCAGCGAGGTGGAGGACTACCAGAGCAGAGTGTTATGTACATTTCTAGACTCGGTCATCCTACCTGATGTTTTTGCTTCCCTGTGTTTTTTGGTTGTATGGGAGGGTTCAATTCCAAGAAGGGTTAGAGGCGAATGAGGGGCAGGGGCAGGGCGCAGAGGGTATTTACAGAAATGACTGCTATAAAAACAAAAGCATCAGCAAAACTTATCACAGTCAATAACTATAATACAAGGTGGCCTCTAGTAATGACGGTAAGTCAGAACTAGAGGTTTTACAAAGTGATTTCCTCCTGAGAGTTCTTCAAGATGGACATACAAGGCCTGTATCCCTACGGTGCAGAGAAGGAAACTGAGACTCACACAGGTTTGAGGACTCATCCTGTACACGTGGCTAATAGCTGCCTGAGCCACAATGTAATCAAATGCTCCCCCCTCCACTTGGCCCCTGCCTTCCTCCTGACAACAGCCACGGCCAGCCAAAAGCATTACTGGGTACCTGTAGGAGCTGAGAGTTCCCTCTCCTCTGAGGTCTTTTTAAAAATACACTTTCTTGTGCAAATCAAAACAAGTCTGAGGTACCACCTCACACCTATCAGATTCGCCAGCATGACAAAACAGGAAAATGATAAATGTTGGAGAAGATGTGGGGAAATTGGAACACTAATGCATTGTTGGTGCAGTTGTGAAATGATCCAACCATTTTGGAGAGCAATTTGGAACTATGCCCAAAGGACTATAAAATTGTGCATGCCCACAACAATACCACTTCTAGGGCTGTATCCCAAAGAGATCACAGAAACAGGGAAAAGGGACCCACATGTACAAAAATATTTACAGCAGCTCTTTTTGTGGTGGCCAAGAATTGGACATTGAGAGGATGCCCATCAATGGCGGAATGGCTGAGCAAGTTGTGGTATATGAATGTAATGGAATACTATTGTGCTACAAGAAATGATGAGCAGGCAGACTTCAGAAAAACCTGGAAAGACTTGTATGGTCTGATGCTGAGCGAAGTGAGCAGAACCAAGAGAACATTGTACACAGTAACAGCCACGTTGTGCGGTGGCTAATGTTGATAGACTTAACCCTTCCCAGCAATACAAGGATCTAAGACATCTCCAAAGGCCTCATGATGGAAAATGTGATCCACAAAGAAGAAAGAACTATGGAGTTTGAATGCTGATCGAAGCATACTATTCGCCATTTTTTTTCTTCTGTTGTGTTCTGTTTCCTCTTTCTAGTGGTTCCTCCCATTGGTTCTAATTCTTCCTTACAACATGACTAATGTGAAAACATGTTTAATAGGAACGTATATGTATAGCCTATATCAGATTGTGTGATGTCTTGGGAAGGGTGGTGGGGAGGAAGGGGGAGAAAAATTTAAAACTCAAAAACTTATGAAAGTGATTGATTGTTGATAAATCAAATAAAATAATAAAATAATAAAAATACACTTTATTGACACTTTTTAGAAACCACTGCTGTCATGCCAATACCAGGCCCCCAAAAGAACCCTCCCTCGTAAGAAAGTATGGTTAAAATGAAACAAATGGACATACTGAGCACATGGGACAGTGCATGCCTCCCACTGCACCAGCAGGCTACCACCTGTCTGCCAAAAGGAGGGAGATTTGTTTCCTCCACAGTCTTCTGGCGACAAGACTACTCAATGAATTAACCAAAGCCAAGATGTCCTTTTCTGCCACTGTGGATGCTGTACTTTCTTCTCTTCATTCCCCTTCCTCTGCCTCTTTGAATCCCCTCTACTTGTCATCTGGGGGAACAGTAACAATACTCCAGGACATTCCTTTACCATGTCCATCCAGCTGTCCCCCAATTGCTGGGTCCCCGTTTGGTCTCCAGGACCATGCAGCTACAAGAGCAGCTAGGACTGCTGTATTGTACATGGGGCCCTCAGTTCTGTGGTTGTTGGCACTACAATACAACCCCTGGCCTGAAGGGCGTAGATGGGACCCCTCTTCCCGTAAGGGTCCCCACCAATCTGAGAGCTGTAATTCTACAGCTATTATAAAGAGACCAGGCAGCCAGGGATGGCCAGGTCATGCACGTAGGATTGAAGCTGGGAGGGACTTCATTGTACAAGTGAGGAAACCGAGGTCCAGACAGGTGAAGAGACTGGCAGGAAGTCAAACAAGCTCTGAGTGGCAGGACCAGGCCTCCAGCCTAGAGTGTCCAGGCTGTGGCCGAGGCGGGAGGAGCCTCCGAGGAGGCCCAGCTCCCCTGGGACCTGGCTGTGCAGGGAACCAGCACTGCGTGGCCTCCCTGGGGGAGACCAGAGGGCCAAGAGGAGGGTTTGACACTGACCAGATTCATCGTCACCACAGGCTGGTCCTCCTGGTCTACCTCCACTGGGCCCTCTGCCCCCATCTTGGCAACATCTCTGGGAGCTGCGACCCAGGCCACGGAAAGAGGGCAGACTGGCCTGGGAAGGTCCCTCAAGCAGGCAGCCCACCCCGATCTGACCTCGGAGGGACCCTCCCCACCTCTGCGCCATTGGGTGTGACCTTTTCTCTCACCAGGGGAGATTTCCCACTTCCCAGGAGAGGGTGGGGGGCAGGGAGGGGTTCTCTCTTCCTCACTCTCCCCCGGAAGTGCCTGGGTCAAGCTCTCTACTGGGGCCAGCCTGGCTGGAGACCTCCCTCCCCCTCCCTCAGCCCCTCTAGCAGATCCGCCCCCCCAAGAGAGGGAAGCAGCACTTACATAGTGCCTACCGTGTGCCAGGCACTGTGCTAAGTACGGTACAATTATTATCTCACTGGATCCTCACAACCACCCGGGAGGCAGGGGCTCTTATTACCCCATTTTACAGATGAGGAAACTGAGGCGAACAGAGACATGAGTCGCCCAGGGTCTCACAGGTAGGAAGTGTCTGAGGCCGGTTAACCTCAGTTGTCCTTGACTCCAGGTTCACTGCTGGGCACCCCCAGCTGCCTCTAACGAGAAGAGACAGCCTTTCCCAAGCCCAGCAGGTGCCTGCTTGGGTAGCTTTAGGTGCAGAGGAGACAAGGTCAGCAGAGGCCAGCAGCCTTGGCCACAAAGTCCGGCCCCCATCTTCAAGGCCCTCCCCAGCTCTTCCGGCCCTTGGTCACCCCACATCCTTTCCCCAGTTACCCCCAAACTGGCAGGAGGGCAGAGTGCTGAGAGAGCATCTAGTTCAAACTTGGCTTTTTAGAAGTGGGGAAACTGAGTCCCACAGAGGGACAGGGCCGTCTGGGTCCCAAGCGCACTGCCCGCCTCATTTACCTGGCTGGGGAGCCAAGCGCTTTACAAACACGATCTCATTGGCTCCGCACAACTGCCCTGGGACACGGGGGCTATTCTTGTCCCCATTTTACAGGGGGGGAACTGAGGCAGGCTTGCCCCGGGGAAGTGACACTGGACCACCTCTGCTGGCCGAGAGCCTCTGCCAACGAGCTGCTGCTGGGAGACCCTGGGCCACTGCCCTAACCCCCCCCCCTCCACGGGACTTAGTTTCCCCCTCTGTAAAGTGAGAGGGCCGGACTGGAGGATCTCTAAGCACCCTTCTGGCATTGACATCATCGATCACTCAAATCAATAAGAACTTATTAAGACACGACGGCAAGGGGGACCTAGCTCTCTCCGGGGCTCGGTTTCCTCATTTGTAAAATGGGGGAAAGGAACGAAGAAGGGGTGTCCAGCACCAAGCCCATGGTCTCCAGCAAGGCAGCGTTTCCATGGTGACCACGGCGGACACGACGTAATGACGTTACGCACAGGGCGCGGGGCGTTGCTCTAGTGACCCACCGCCTCCGCGCGCTTGCGCAGCCCGAGCCTCCTGCCGGGGGGTGGACAGGGATGAGAGCAGAGAGTGCGGGATGGAGGCGAGGAGGACTCCGGGCCGCCCTCCCTAGACTTACCTCGCTCACGTGGGCTCCGAGCCCTGCTCGGGCAGCCACTTCCGTTCAAACGGACTCGGGGGAGCGTCGCCGCGGCTGCGCGCGTGCACAAGAGAGAACTACACTCCCCAGGGGCCTTTGCGGCTAACAGTTGTCCTGGTTGGTGACTGAGTGTAGGCTCATGCCCACAACTCGCGTTATGCTAGGTAGAGCACGAAGCGAGCGCTGGTGGGACGGGACCCCGCTGCCCGCGGAAGGTGGGGGGCTGTAGGTGTGATGGGAAGTGGTTCGGTGACGCTGCCCATACGTTAACCGATAGCGCTCCCGGAGATATACTCAAGGAATGACTTTACGACGTACGAATTTACAGAGACACCCTTCCTAAGTCGGGGTGGGGGTGGAAGGATGGGAAGTGGAAAGAGGCAAGGGGGAAAAACCACGCACCATCACTACTACCGCACATTATGCTCTGCAAGGGGGCGCTGCGAACGCCCAATCAGAGAGCGCAGCGTCCTGCCCTCGTGGCTACTGGGAAACGTAGTCCTGTCCCACCAAGCAATCATGAACAAGATTCTGCAGAAGTTGAAGCGTGAAGAGGCAGGGAGAGGGGCAATACCTGACCCCGTGTACTATTAAAGAGATGCTGAAGAGAATCTCACACACTATTAATTTATTAACAATCTCCCTATCGCCCCGTCGCTCCGCCGAGAAGGGGCTCAGCCAATCACGCGGCGCAGAACGCGGTGACGCCACCCGTATGCAGCCTGATCCAGACATCTGTATCCCCAAAGCAACTGCCCGTTATTCCTGTAGGTGTACGGCCTGATCCAAGGGGGAAAAGCCCATTTGTCAGAAGGGATGCCAGCTCCGCCCTACCCTGTAGCGAGCCCCTTTTCCCTTCCCTCAAAAGGTTCGCCCTGAAGGCTAGGACACTAACCCTGGGCAGATTATCAGGGTCCCGCGAGCCTTGGAGGAGTTCAGTCAGTCACGTGGAGCGAAAGGTCTAACGTCATCTGTCACTGGCAGATTCTTCAGAGCCTGGACTCCGAGTCCCCACCTTTCTTTACTCCCGCCCTCAGAGGCAATTCAGCCTATCAGGAGCAGCGAACTTTCCATGTCAGTGGTCACTGGGCAGATCGGGCGAAGGGGTGTGAAGACACCGCCCCAACACGCCTCCACCCACACAATCCAATCTTCGTTGTGGGGAAAGCCGGGAAGAGTGAGAGACAGAGAGCTCAGACAGTGACTGCGTCGAGAACGCATCCCCACACTTTAGTTGTGGAAGGCGCCTGGTCCGAACTACATATTCCATGATGCTCCGGGAGCGGAGCGCCGCCTCCATTGGCCAGAGGGTCTCGCGGGAGCAGAGAGGCGACTGCAGCGCTCTCCTGCCGCAGCCCCGCCGCCGCGCTAGGGGGCGGCCGTCTCTCTTGGGAGCCTCCCGGCCTGGGAGGTAGAGGCTTTGGGTTCGAAATCTGACGCGTTTACCCTAACAGAGGAATGCAAGCTACTCCACCGCGTGGGCTGCCAGACTCTCCCTGGAACCCGCGGTACCTGAAGGCCTCGAAGGGAGCCTAGAGGCCGTCTAGGGCCACCTGGGGCGGCTAGGGGGCGCCCGAGCGCGCGCAGCGCCCGCCTGTAGCCCCAGACCCTACTGGCTGGTGACCCTGTAGTGAGCTGGAGGGGGAAATGGCGGCCCTCTCCAGTATGTTTGCCGAGAAAACCCCAGGTGGGGTCCCCAGGGGTCCCAGAGACAGGGCTGCGCAACAGCAGAGACCCCTTGTACAGATGGAGCCCAGAGTGCCAAAGCCATCGCTTGAATTCACTGAGCCATTCTGTCTGTGGTGCGGAAATAGAAGGGCAGGAGCCCGGCACGTGACCAGCACGTGACCAGCAGCGAGGCTGGCGGCGCATGGGCTCGGTCAGCCAGCCTCTGGGCTACCTCCGTGTGCCCGCCATATTGGAAGGCCAAGAGGCTGTCCACGGCTGGAGGCGCGTGCCCCCGGGCTTAGGGAGCAAGATGCGTTTTGTCTTTGAGCCGCTTTCATTTGTTTTTATTCACTTGTGTATGCTATCATGTTTGCTTTTGCCGAGCATCTTTTCAATGTACAACCATTATGTCCTAATGGAGGACACGGACTCTTTTTATTGACTGTATCCCCAGTGCCTGGCACATAGTAGGGCTTCATGTTTATTGAACTGGCTACAGCCCTCCCCCAGTGAATCTGCTTGTACTTTAGACTGACTATGTGTACGTATCCCATTTAGAACATCAGCTCCCTGAAAAGAAGGGACTGTCCCGACTTTCATGTCTGGATCTATCGCTAGCACTTGGGGTGTAAGGGTAAGTGCTTAATAAATACATCCCGGACCCAGGCAGCTTAGGCTAACTATTCCTTCCACAAATTGGAGCTCTTCATATGAAGTGGGCTGTTACTTGTAAATTCGGGGAGTGTTTGGAGCTTCATTTCAGGTATGGACAAATGGCAGTCCATGGACATCTCAGTAGCCCTAAGCCAGTGCTGCTTTCCAGAGATGGGTGGTTCGTGTGCTCTTCTGGCCAGGAGAGACTAATGTTGGTACCTAGGTCCTCTTGGTCTTGCAGACAGCACAGTGGATAGAGTGCTGGGCCTGGAGTCGAGAGGACCTGAGTTTAAATCTGGCCTCAGACATCTACCAGCTGTGTGACCTGGAGCAAGTCACTTAGCCCTGTTTGCCTCAGTTTCCTCATCTGTAAAATGATCTGGAGAAGGAAATGGCAAACCTCTCCAGTATCTTTGCCAAGAAAACCCCAATTGGGGTCACAGAGAGTTGTACAGGACTCACAACTCAACAAGCAGAAGCTAAAATGATAACCCAGAGAAGATGACTCGTGGAACTCGGAGCCAGGCCTCTATGGTAAACATACAAATGAGCCTGAGATTTGTACCAGAGAGTGCACCATCAATGGATATGAATTTTGTCGCAAGGGAGCCTCCTTGCCTCAGCTGTCAGTATGTGACTAGTATGGAGAGCCATTGTATTGCAAAATCTTTAAGACGGGATGATGCTATCAAGAACGATGCCCTGCATTCCTGTTAATGTTTGACCGAGAACCATTTTTAACCCATTCACGACTTAAAATTGTCCCTTGGCTAAGAGTTTGATTGAAGGAAGCCTCCCACCTAGCTATGAGAAGGGGGAAGAGGAAGGGAAGAAGCATCTATACTGCACCTACTATGTGTCAGGCACTGTGCTAAGCACTTTAAAAGCAAATATTATCGATGGCCACAATCAGGAGAGCTGAGAGGAACCAGCCCCACTGCATTGCTTGGGTGCGCTATCAGGAACTCCAGCCAGGGGGCAGAGTCTCGCTAAAGGAATCCACCGAAACTATAAGCATTTGAAAGACAGGCAACCCACCCAAAGTAGCCCAGAGAATATTCATGGTCCTGAAAAGACCACAGAATAGTTCACAGCCACTCGTTCCCTCTAAAGGAGTCAGGCATGCTCTACAACCCGGAGTTAAAG